TGTTCAGGCTTTCTGTTTTTTCTTTATTCTTCTTTTCAGAGATTATATGTTTCTAGAAATATTTCCATTTCACCTAAGTTTTCAAATTTCTTGGCATATAGTTCTTCATAGTAATTTCTTACAGTCCTTTGTATTTCTGTGGTATCTGTTGTAATCTCTCCTCTTTCATTTCTGATTGTGCTTGTTTGGATCCTCTCTCTTTTTTTCTTCATAAGCCTGCTTAAAGGCTTGTTGATTTTGTTTATGTTTTCAAAGAAGCAGCTCCTGGATTCATTGATCCTTGTAATTGTGCTCTTAGTCTCTATGTCATTTAATTCTGCTCTGATCTTGGTTATTTCCTTCCTTCTGCTTGCTCTGGGCTGCCTTTGTTGTTGTTCCTCGAATTCTTGTAGACATAGGGTTAGGTTGTTTGTTTGGGATGTTTCTAACCTTTTTAGGTGGGCCTGTATCGCTATGAACTTCCCTCTCAGGACTGCCTTGGCTGTGTCCCATAAGTTTTGGGTTGTTGTGAGTTCGTTTTCATTTGTTTTCAGAAAACTTTTGATTTCTTCCCTAATAGCATTCTTGACCCATTCATTGTTTAATAACATGCTATTCAATCTCCATGATTTTAAGTGTTTTGGGTATCTTCCCTTGGGGTTCGTTTCTAGTTTCAGTCCCTTGTGGTCAGAGAAAATGCTTGGTATGATTTCAATTTTCTTGAATTTGTTGAGGCTTGTTTTGTGTCCTATCATGTGGTCTATCTTTGAAAATGTTCCATGTGCATTTGAAAAGAATGTGTATTTTGCTTCTTTGAGATGAAGGGCTCTATATGTATATCAGTTAAGCTCATTTCATCTAGGGCATTGTTCAATGCTACAATACCTTTGTTGATATTTTGTTTGGAAGATCTATCCATTTTTAACAGTGGGGTGTTAAAATCCCCTACTATAATTGTGTTGCTGTCAATATCTTTCTTGAAGTCTTCTAAGATTTTCTTTATGTATTTGGGTGCTCCTATGTTGGATGCATATATATTTACAATATTTATGTTTTCTTGGTGGATTCTTCCCTTGAGTATTATGAAGTGACCTTCTAGGTCTCACTTAATGGACCTTTTTTGGAAGTCTATTTTGTAAGATATGAGTATTGCTACCCTGGCTTTTTTTTTTTCCTGTTGATTTGCTTGGAAAAAATGTTTCCAGCCCTTTATTTTCAGCCTGTGCAGGTCTTTTATCCTGAGGTGGGTCTCTTGTAGGCAGCATATATGTGGGTCATGTTTTCTTATCCATTCAGCTATTCTATGTCTTTTGATTGGAGCATTTAATCCATTTACATTTAAGGTTATTATTGATAGGTACTTATTCATTGCCATTTTCATACCTGTGTTCCTCTCTCTCTGTCTCTCTCTCTTTTCCTTCCTTTCCTTAAATCAGAACCTTTAGCATCTCTTGCAGAGCTGGTTTGGTGGAGGTGTATTCTTTTAGACTTCTTTTGTCTGGGAAGCTCCTTATTTGGCCGTCTATGTTGATTGAGAGCCTTGCTAGGTAAAGTAGCCTTGGTTGCACACCTCTGATTCTCATAACTTGGAATATCTCTTGCCATTCTCTTCTGGCTTGGAGCGTTTCCATTGAGAAGTCAGCTGCTAGCCTTATTGGGGCTTACTTTCTGTTTCTCCCTTGCTGCTTTTAAGAGTCTCTCTTTGTCTTAATATTTTGCCATTTTAATTATGATATGTCTTGAAGTGGGCCCCTTTGGGTTCCTCTTGATTGGGACTCTCTGTGTTTCCTGGATTTGTGTGGCTTTTTCTCTCATAAAATTAGGGAAGTTTTCCATCATTACTTTTTCAAATAGGTTTCCTATCCCTTGCTCTTCTTCTTCTCCTTCTGGCATCCCTATTATATGGATATTATTATGTTTCATATTGTCTTGCATTTCTCTTAATCTGTCTTCATTTTTCCTGAGCCTCTTTTCCTTTTTTTGCTCTTTCTTGGTGTTTTTTTCTACTTTGTCCTCTAGCTTGCTGATCCGATCTTCTGCTTCATCAGTCCTGCTTTTCATTCCTTCTGCTGTGTTCAATTCAGAAATTGTATTCTTCATTTCCTCTTGACCCTTGTTGATAATTTCGATTTCCTTTTTCATGTTGATATAGTTTGCAGTGAATTCATTGTAGGTTCCCTGTAGTTTCTGGTAGCTCATTTTGAGCTCATTGAGCTTCCTGATAACCATTGCTTTGAACTCAGTATCTGATAGTTGAATTGCCTCTATTTTATTTAACATTCTTTCTGAGGCTTCCTCCTTTCCTTTCATTTGGGGAATGTTTCTTTGTCTTCCCATTGTTTTGAGACTCTTCTTGTTAGCTTGAGCTTCTTCAATTGGTCTGTTCTGGCTCCCTGGGTTTATGGTGTGAACTTATGTGGTAGAATACCTGTGAGATTCAGTGGTACAGTCTCCTTGATCTCCCAAGCTCACTAGTCTTGGGCTGTCATTGAAGTCGGCTCTGTGTTTTTCTTTGGGTTTTGACTGTTGTTGGGTCTTTCTTTGGTGGGTCCTTCCCACCAGCTGGTTAAATGGGGGTCACTCTGTCCACCACCTCTTGTATTTTGTTGTGCTGGTGAGGCAGGGTGTGTTGAAGCTGGTTCTTCCGTGTGTATAAGGTTTTGAGGATTCTCTCCTGCTCTTGTTCAGTTGTTTGTAGTGGGTAGTATCTCCAGTGTTTATTTGTATTTCTGGATAGGTCCTAGATTGAGGTTTGTATGGTTTCCACTCCCTCCTTAATCTTCTTCTGTTGTTATGTGTTTGTTATCTTTGTTGTTGGGTTTCTTCTTCCAGTGGGTACCCTGGTGTTCATTGCTTCCAACTTCTCTTTTTTGGGATCATTTGGAGGGGGAAGGCAAAATGGTTTAAGACAGCAATGGAGTGTTCTATGGTATTTACAGTAGCAGCCAGTAGAGAAGAGATAGGAGATCCTTTGGCTATGTATAGTGTTAACCGTGATCTTCCACCCAACTAACCGATTTTTTAGAAAGGGTAGAAAGAAGATAAGACTCTTGTTTGGGAAAGAAGGATTGTGTGTTGGATCCAGAAAGCAGTGAGGTTCTGGGAGGTCAGATTCTGAGGTAAGGTGAGAGTGAAGGATAGTCAATAGGTGTAGTGTATGAAAGAATAGAGTTAACCACTACGGTAATAGAGTTCAGGAAACTGTGAAGTGAGCTAAGATCTGGGAGGGATGTTTTAAGTGTTTACAATTGTATGGAACAGCTGTTATTTACAGTAATATTAGAACAACAATCATATGACAGAATCAATGTGATCTGGATAACAAGAATAGGAAGTATAGGACCTTGAGTAGTGTGCTGATGGGACACAAGTGAAGTGAAGGACAGTAAATTAGCAATACACTATGAAAGACATCAGAGGAAACCTGTCAAATGATACAATATAACCAGTCTAGCAAAGCAGACTATACAGAAAGAAGAGGAATGCAAAAATACTATTAAAATAAAAGATGTAAAAATACTGCAAAAAATAATAATAATACAGATATGTGAGAACTTGCATTTCTTTGTAATTGGAGAGTGAAATTTGTCTCAGTGTCGCAGCTGTTGTGATGGCCCTTCTTTGGGTCCAACTCTGGTCTTTTTACAGTTCCAGGGTTTTTTTGTTCTTTTTTTTTTTTCTTGTTCTCACTTGTAGGTAGTTAAAAAAAAAGGCAGATGAAAGAAGGAAAAAGAGATAAAATTGGAGGAAAGAAAGGAAGAAGGTATAAAACAAGAAAGAAGGAAAGAGAGGAAAAAGGAATTGAAAGAGAAAAAAATAATAAAAATTAAAAAATAAAAAATTATTACAAAATTTAAAATAGAATAAAATTAAAAAGTCTCTTGGTTTCAAAGTGGCCATACCGGTTTTTCTGGTCTTGCTGGCTGCAGGAGGCTGAAGGGTGATTGGTATGGCTTTTCTTCCTTCCCAGTCTGTACTCAGTCAGCCTTGCGCACTGTCTGCATTGTCAGGGGAACTATCCTGGCACCTCTCCCCTGCACCTTGGGTTTGGGATCAAGGCCTTTCCCCAGGGTTACCACTGTGGGCTGTGGTGTGGGGGTGCACTGGCCAGGCTGCCTCACCCTTCCCAGTGCTATGGGGGTGTGCTGGGTCTTCCACACAAGCATAACCTTCCAGGCAACCTCGGGGTCACTGCTGAGTGGCAGGGAGGCCAGAGTGATTGCTGCAGGAGAATTCCCCAGTGTCTGTCTTTTCACTTTTTCTTTTTGAGAAATTCTTCCTCCTCAAGCCTACCATGTTATACAGTGGCCTGGCCTCTCCCATAGCCCAATTCTTTAGCCAGACCAGTGACTATGGGGGTCAGGGCCCACAGCATGACTCTCAACTCTGCCGGTGCCCACAGACTCTGAGGGTACTCACAGTCCTTGTGTGTTTGCTAGCAACGGGGTTTCACCTGGTGCCACTCAGACCTTGTTTGGATGGGGAGGGAGGAGTTGCCCCGGCTCTCTCCCAAGGACTCTGTGGCAAACCTGGCAGCAGGTGCCGGGCCTGGGGCTGCAGCCCCTCTGGTTTTTCGGTTCTGCTACTTTTGGTCTCTTATTTTCATATGTTGAGGTACTGCTTGTTGTTTGCTCTTTTACTCAGTAGACCTGCTAGGATTTCCTCTCGTGTGTAGAAGAAAGTGGAATCTGCTCCCTCCTACCCTGATGCCATCTTCCTTCCTTTCATTTAGTTTTCTGAAAGCTGACACGGTTCTATTGTTTGTCATGTTTTCTTAATTATCATAAGAAAGCTCTTCAAAAATTATCATTTCAATGGAGATTTTGAAAAAGTTTTCTTGAACTTCCCACTGAATAGTTCTGTACCAAAATTAGATTGAATTCTGATACTAAAATCTAGAATTTGTGTTTGACTTTGCATTTATTAGTTTCAGCTAGAGCAACTTTAATATCTGAAACCTATCTTTCATTTTAGAAAACAAATCCCTGACTGATCTAACATCTTGTACTTATGTGTCGTAGGTAAACTTGTATTTTCCATTAAAAGCAGTCAAGATGATGATTCTGACAGTGATTCAGTTCTAGGACGAGATCAAGATCAAGAGCAAATTCAGAGTCAAGCTATAGTACCTGTTCTCTGGAAAACAATGTCAGAAATATACCAAAAGCTTGATGAGGAAGACCCAGGTAAATTTATTATTATGGACAGTTTCATGACTGGTATTCATAAACTGGTTTATGAGTAGATATTTTACATTCATAATACAAATGTGAGTTGTATATATTTGTCAGAATTTTATTATATTATTTCAGTATTAAATTTATGTAATTTAATATCTGGATTGGATTTGCTATAAACATTAATAGATTATGATCCTTCACCTTGAAGACTGCCTACTCTTTCACAAGTGAAAAACTTCACATATATATTTCTGTTATTAAACAAAAAACAGCAGTACATTTCTGATGAAATATTAATGAGTGTATTATTTTAACAGTATAATATGCTTTTCATCAACATTGGATGTGATAACAGCCTTCCTCATGCAAAAGAAAGTAAATGATATTGGTTCCCCTCCTTATATTATAAAATGTCATTTGCATATTATTAAACACCTTATATTTTTATTAGAAATTAAAGGGGAAATGACATAGTAGAGTGTGGGAATAGACAGGGCAGGTTTCCGGGAGAATGAGTTTTCTTATTTGTGAGTAGCAACAGGGACTTAAGAGGGCAGTAAAGAAGAGTAGGTCAACAGGAGTACAGTCGTGGAGGCAAAGGTATCCCAAAGAAGAAATCTTTATTAAATAAATTTCTGTTTAGCCAGATTCCTCTGAGAAACAGATACCACCATAATATTATAATGTAATGTAATGCAATATATTATAAAGAGAGATATTTTAAAGAATTAGCTTACATGATTGTGGAGATGGGCAATTCCAATATCTGTAGGGCAAGTGAGCAGAGTAGAAAATTACGTATGAGTTGCTGTTGTAGGATCGTGTCCAGGTTCCATACCAGGCAGGCTGAAAGTTCAGGCATGTTTTCCATAGTACAGTCTTAATGCAGAATTGCTTCTTTTTCAGATAACCTTAGTTTTGCTCTGAGGGCCTCCAGCTGAGTGGAGGGGGCTCACCCACGTCATGCAGGGTAATCTTCTTTATTCAAAGTCTATCAATGTAAGTGTTCATCACATTAAAAAAATACTTTCACAGGAGCATCTACACTGGTGTTTAACCAAACAACTGGATACCATAGCCCAGTCAAATTGACACATACAATTACCCATCACAGAGTACATGGATTAAGAGTGGTATTTAGCCCTGGCTGGCATAGCTCAGTGGATTGAGCACAGGCTGCAAACCAAAGCATCGCAGGTTCGATTCCCAGTCAGGGCACATGCCTGGGTTGCGGGCCATGGCCCCCAGCAACCGCACATTGATGTTTCTCTCTCTCTCTTTTTCCCTCCTTTCCCTCTCTAAAAATAAATATAAAATTAAAAAAAATAAAGTTAAAAAAAGAGTGGTATTTAGGCAATATTAAAATGTTTAGGCTTCGAGATGGAAAAGCAGTTGGAGCCAGGTAGGCCACTGCAAGAGTAAATGGTGTTTGAAGTGAAGAGAGCAATGTCTTTTATATTAGTGATGTGATTACAGAAATACCACTGAACATGGAAAACATTTTAGAAACTACTATTAGATAATTGTCTTGAGAAAGAGAAAGAGAGGATTGATTCCAAAATATAACAAAGTTTGTATCTTGGTGAATAGGAAAATATTAAGATGGAAATTTAGAAGTGTGTTGACTTTGTTAAATTAACATTTGTTAAGTAGCCCTGGAAGTGTCAGATGGTAGTGAGTCAGAGTGCCCCAAAAGATTGCAAGGGAAAGTGAAATAGAGAAGTTCCTTGTCCCAGGTCCTGGAGAGTGCACTCTAGAGGCCTCTATGGACAACAAGGGGAGAGTAAGCAGGGTGCAGGCAGAGAGGAAGGAAGGACCTGGAGACATGCCTTTATTAGGGTCTTTGGATAGAATGCTTTGGGGTTCCCAGGCTAAAGCCAGATTGATGGAGCCCTGGCTGGTGTGTCTCAGTTGATTGAGCATCCTCCCACAATGTATAAAGTTGCCGGTTCAATTCCTGGTCAGGGCACATACCTGCATTGTGGGCCTGATCCCAGGTTGGGGTACTTTTGAGAGGCAACCTATTGATGTCTCTCTCTCTCACATCGATGTTTCTCTCCTTCTCTTTCTCCCTCCTTTCCCCTCTCTCTAAAAATGAATAAATAAAATCTTTTAAAAAAACTTAGAAAGCCAGATTGGTCGATTCAAACCATAAACAGGGGGATTTTGGTAAGCTTCCTAGGAGATCTTATCTAATGAGCACACAAGGAGATGGTCCTGGGAGGCTGGGGAGAGTACTTAGCACACGGGTGGTTGTGGGAGTCATAGCATGAGCTGGGCTGTTTTCTAGGGTATTCACTTGTGAGAGGGGCTAGTGTCACTTCAAGGCCCCTGCAGGCTGCTTGGTCACACAGAATAGACGTAGAGGCAATAATATTATGGAATAGTTTAGTTAAACTCAACAAGAAGAAATAAGTCTGGGAGATTACCGTGCTTGGCACTGTTTTGTATTTCCTTATTTTACTGTGATATTGAGCCATGTGCATGGCAATATTTAGTCATCAGTTGAATGTTTTGAGCTGAGACAAGGTGAACAAGCTTTCTTCAGTTGAAATCATGCAGGGGAGGCAAAGAACAGAAGCCTGTCCTAGATGGATTATGCTGAGTTAAACCTTTATCAAAATCTAGGGCAAAAAATCCATGAAGGTATACCAGATAAAAGTGCTTAGTAGAGTTTGAAAGAAAATCAGAATATTGTCATGTCATGTTAATGGACTGAAATGAAATGCTATCTAATTTTAACAATCTAAGCTGTATGATGACAGGTTACAAGGTAGATTAAGACCTAGGAAAAATGCATCTGGTAACATTACAGTTATCCCCAGTTCTTCAAACAGGCCTTCCCATATCACTGTTTAGACATGATTAGCCATTCAATCACCCGTAATAACATGGGTGTCTTTCATTGCTCAGCAGTATATTTCTTTTCAGTTAGGGAAGTTTCAGTTATGCAAAGTGAGTAGTACATTCTGGAGATCTGATGTACAACAATGTGATTATAGCTAACAATATGATGGTGTATGCTTAAAATTTGCTTAGAAGGTAAAAACTTAAGTATCTTCACCTCCCCCACCTAAAAAATGCTAACTTTGTAAAATGATGGATATGTTAATTAGTTTGAATGTGGTGATTATTTCAAAATGTATACAAGCCCTGACTGGTGTGGCCCAGTAGATTGAGCTCCAGCCTGCAAACCAAAGGGTCATTGGTTCGATTCCCAGTCAGGGTACATGCCTGGGTTGTGGGCCATGTCCCCAGTAGGGGGCGCTGGAGAGGCAACTACACATTGATATTTCCCTCCCTCTCATTCTTCTTCCCTTCCCTCTGTCTAAAAATAAATAATGTTTAAAAAAAGTTTTGTAAAAAAAATCAAAATGTATATCAAATCAAGTGGTACACCTTAAATATATATAATTTATACCTCAATAAAGCTGGGATAAAAAAGAAATGAAACTAGCTAAATGAGAATTTTTTAACCTTCCAAATAAGGAAACATGAAATATAATGGCAACACCCAGTTATTAACAATAAGCCTAAAGAGATCATCTTATACATTGTAGTGGGAATTTCAGTTGATAATAATTTGAAGAGAGCATTTACAATATGTTTAAAACTTGTAAGAATTGTTTATCCTCTTTCATCCAATAATTTCAGTCCAAGGAATATTTTCAAATAAAATAATTAAAGATATGCACACATATTTTTATATTAAAATGTCCCTTATGGCCCTGGCTGGTTAGCTTAGTTGGTTAGAGCATTGTCCTGATACCCCAAGGTTGTGGGTTTCATCTCTGTCAGGGCACATACAAGAAGCAACCAATAAATGCGTAAATAAGTGGAGCAACAAAATGTCTCTCTCCCTCTTTCTGTCTCTCTCCCCTTTCCTCTCTCTCTCTAAAATCAATAAAAAATGTTATGTAATTTATTATGTTGAATAACCAATACTTATTTTTGTAATTTTTAAATTTTAAATGTTTTTGAATAGTATTATCTGCACATAAATGTTTTTTGCAGTTTTATTGAAAAATAATTGACACATAACACTATAAGTTTAAGGCATATGGCATGATGACTTGATTGACTGCATGTGTTGCGAAATAATTCTCACAATAGGCTCCACTAAAATCCATCTTCTCATGTAGGTACAATAAAAAGAAAATAAAGAAATGAACAGAAAAAAATTCTCCTTGTGTTTAAAACTCTTAGAGTTTACTCTCTTAACACCTTTCCCATATATTATACACCAGTGCTGACTACAGTCATCATGTTGTGCATTACATCCCTAGTACTTATTTATCTTATAATTGGAAGTTTTTACTTTTGACCACCTCTGTCCATTTCTCCCACCCTCCACCTCTGCTAACCACAGGTTTGTTCTCTTTCTCTATGAGTGTTGTGGGCTTTTTGTTTGTTTGCTTGTTTTTTAGATTATTTTTCTTTGGTCTGTGTGACTTAACCCATTTTGCATAATGCCTCCAAGGTCCATCCACATTGTCATAAATCACGGAATTTCCTCAGGCTTTTTTCCCCCTACCTTTTTAATGGCTGAATAATATTCTGTTGTTTATATATGCCACAACTTTGTTATCCATTCATTTATTGATGGGCACGTAGGTTGTTTCCATGTCTTGGCTGTTGTCAATAAAACTGCTATGAACATGGAGGTGCAGATATCATTTTGAGTTAGTGTTTTTTTTTTCTTTGGGTATGTTCCTAGGAGTAGAATTGCTGGATCACACAGTAGTTCCATTTTTAATTTTTTGAGAATCCTCCATACTGTTTTCCATAGTGGCTGTATAATTTACAATCCTACCAACAGTATACAAGGGTTTTCTTTTCTCCACATCCACAGCAGCATTTGTTATATATTATCTTTTGGGTGATGATCTTTTAACAGGTGTGAGGGGGTATTTCATTGTGCTTTTAATTTGTGTTTCTCTAATCACTAGTGATCAAACTTAAATGTTAATAGTGAATAGTCTCTGAATGATGATAGAAAAGCGTATGCACACATATATGGGTATATCAATTATATAAAATTTGTACATCCCAGTGTGTATATGTGTGTGTGTGTGTGTCTTTACTGATATATGGAGCCTGGAATTTTATACATAAAATGAAGTAGCATACTCTTGGTTATAAGATGATGACTAATTTCCATGTCCTTTAAGCTTTTCATGAATTTCTCAAATTACTATAGTGAATGTTACTGATTTTATAATTAGAAAAAAATTTTTAGCATACTTAAATCCTGCAGTGAAACATTTATTATTATTTTTGTTGTTTTTCTCATCAATAAATCATCACTAATCCCATTCTAAGCAATGAGTTCCTATTTGATGTACATTTTTAGCACTGTGGGAATTAAATCATCTTCATCATGACATTGCTTTATGTGATCATCACAGCAATTACAAAGAGTAGGTGTTATTGTCCCTGTGATAGTTAATTTTATGTGTCAACTTAGCTGGGCCATGGTGCCCAGATATTAGGCCAGACATTATTCTGGATGTTTCTGTGAAGGTGATTTTGGATGTGAATTACATTTAATCTCTGTACTTTAACTAAAGCAGATTGCTCTCCATATTGTGGCTGGGTCTTATCCAGTAAGTTGAAGGTCATTATGAAACAAAGGCTGACCTCCCCTGAGCCAGAAAGAATTCAGTCAGTAGAGTGCCTTCAGAATTGAACTACAACTCTTCCTTGAGTCTCCAACCTGCTGGCTTATCCTACAGATTGTTGGACTTTTCAAGCCAATTAAATGAGCCATTTCCAAAAAGTACATACAGACACACAAGATTAGTGCATGCAGACTAATACAGTCCCCACAGATTTGCAGACTATTTTACTGCTCTTTGTACTAACCCAGAGTCATGTAGCATTTAGCCTTTGTAGTTACAAACACCCTTCATTTTCAGAATTATTTTCCCTGTGAGTTCAGTGTGCACTAAAGCACTGGAAAAAATCCATAAAACATACATGAGCTAGGAAAGGAAAGAGTTTTCATTTTAAGAAATTTGGTTTGTTGTGAGATGTCACATTTAAATGTCTTAAAAGCATTTTGAGCCCTTTCGTAGAATTGAAGGAGCAGCCAATAGAAACATGACCAGTGGTTTTCTCAGTAATCTAACATCAAGATAAATTTGGTAACTTATTCTTTGTACATTAATGGTCTTAAGGTGTCCATAAAATAAATAAGCACAGGAAGCAATTCAAAATGTGGAGGTAAGTTTTCCTTCAAGAACTTTGACAAGCATTTATAATAAGTGCTCCTAGATCTCCTCTCTTCCTCTTACTAGCTGATTGCTCTGAATGTCTGAATTGTTCTCAGCTCCACTAATTTTGTAAGTGCTTCTTGATAGCTAAAGTATTGAAACAGGTCAATATACAATATAATGCAATACAACATGATACAAAAGAGTGAAGTACCATATAATAAGATATAATGCCATATACTATACTATACTAAATGACATTCATTGCTTTACAGTGCATCACAGTATAATGCAGTACAGTACAGTACAATATAATACAATGCAATGAAAACCAATACTCTCTCAGAAGAGAGAGACACTGAGAATTCCACTAGCCTGGGCCTCTTATTTTTATAGATGAGGAAACTGAAGCCCAAAGAGGCTAATGATTTATCTAAGTAATTCAGTCAAATGTAGCAGTTCTTGGAATCTTTAAAATATGATAATACTGATATGACAATGCATACAATTAACTGAAACTGGAGGATGGCTCACACTGCAAATTTGGTCAATGCTGGAAAATACAGAATAGCAAAGTGAGAAGCTGAACAGATGAGAACGAATGAAAAGAACTGGGTTTGATGCCATTACATGCCCTGCTACTCCAGGCTGCTGAGGTACACTGGGGTTCTGGATTCTAAATTTAGAAGTGTGACTTGAGATATTGCCAGCAACAGAAATATCTACTTTTAAACAATATTGGGAAGCCAGTTATACACATAACTTTCTCTTCACTTGGTCTATACCCCATTGCAGCTTTCTTTGGGTTAAATTGCTAGGATCCATTTTACTGTCCCAAGAAACCAGAAATCTCTTGGAGTATTCCTGACTTTGTCTTTAGAATACATTCTTAGGGCACTGGAAATGCACCATTGTGAATTGTAGTACTATATTTGGACATTTCTGCATGCAATATGTGAGTGCTTTGGCAATTATGGTGAAAAAGGACTGATTATTTCTTCTGAAATATTAATCCCTAACTTAAAAGTAAAACATCCATACGTTCATTTTAGCGGAGAACAAAAGTTACTGGGGCAGGCACCAGGCAAGGAGTCTTTACTGGACATGCTCGTGGGTGGCTGTGCTTTACAGAACTTCTCTTACCACTTCCCAAACAGTGATGAGATCACCTTGTCACCCTCCCCTCAGCACTCTCCACAAATGAGTCCATCAAAAAGAGTTTGAAAATGATATCTGTTCATGTTTTCTGCAAAACATAGTATTCTGAAGCCTATATTAAGAAATGTTTTTTTTTTTTCCAGGTGATGTTAGAAATTTACGAGTCTGGTATGATTTTGAAATCCATATTCATCCTGAGGGACCTGTACATATTATTGAAATAAAATGTACTGCTTTGGTAAGAGCCCATTAAATGTTCATAGAGTTTGCCTTTTTACAGACAGAGCTTTTTGTTGTACACTTAAATTGCTATCCCTAAAAATAGCTATATTAATTACTCATATTGGAATAAAGTATTCAAATTATAGCAATTTTCATTTTAAATCCAGTCATGTGTATCTTGAAAGCTTATGGAAAAGATTTTTTAGTTCTGTGGTACTTTATAGTGGCTGCACTGATTAGCATTCTACCTGGATGTTTCAAGAATTACTAGAGCAAACTTAACCTTCACCTTCGTGCCTGCCCTCATGTGTATGATAAAAGCAGCATTGCATCTCTAGGCTTTTTTAGTACTGATTCTGCCTGTTTACTAGCAGCAGGCCTTTCACTTTGAAACATATTTGGAACAACTGACATAGATTTAGGATTTTAAATAACAGTAACTAAGAATAAGATGGTCTTATGTGAATTATTAAACTGTTACTACCTCCATGTCCAGGATTATTTAAGAGTCAAATATTGAGACTCTTGCTTTAAATGAAACATGAAGACAGTATTAATTGCTATCAATTATGTCTTCATTCAATTAAATTTCTTTGTTAGTGCTCAAATATTTAAATCCATGATAAAGGTTATTTTCATTTTTTAATGTGAAGATAGATTTCTTTGTATGATTGATTACTTGGAATGTTGAAGTTTTGCTCCATCACATAGAAAATAAGAAAAGGCTTTAAAAACTTTGTCTATAAATCAATTATTTGCTCATCTGATTTCTGGGTAAATTTCCATTGAGGCATAGAAAATGGATGATTAAACTATTGAAATGCACTCAAGTATAGATCACAAAAGCAATCTGTTCTACTAAGTGGAAAATAATATGATGATGGTAGGACCATTTCGCTCAATGAAAATGCCCCATTTCTGTGACCCTGTTATCACTGCAGAATAAAATCTTTCTTAAAGGTTATTTTTAAATTTATAGTTACTTTTTTTTTGTAAAATTTTGATTGTGGTTCTGTTACAGTTGTACCAATTTTCCCCCTGTTGCTCTCCCCTGCCCTGTTCACCACCCCCACTCCCAGTCAGTCCCCACCCTGTTGTCCACATCCATGGGTAATTCATACATGTTCAACTAGAAGGGTTCAACTAAACCCTTCTCCTCTTTCCTCTGTTATCCCCCTCTTCCCTCCTCCTCCCTTCTGGTCACTGTCAGTGTGTTCTTTATTTCCATGTCTCTGGTTCTATTTTGCTTTGCTTGTTTTGTTCATTAGGTTCCTGTTGTAGGTGAGATCATACGGTATTTGTCTTTTGCCGCCTAGCTTATTTCACTTAGCATAATACTCTGCAGTTCCATCCCTGCTGTCATGAAAGCTATAGTGAAGTGCTGGAAGCAACCTAAATGCCCATCAGTAAATGAGTGGATCAAAAAACTGTGGTCCATTTACACAGTGGAATACTATTACAGCAGAAAGAAGTAAAGGTTATTTTTAAATAGCATAACTTTAATTATGAAACCACTTGCTGTGGAAAATGTTTACTAGTTTAAAAGTCATCTTTTTATCAGGATGCAGGAGAAAAAAAATTTTTCAATGAGTCCAGGTGAAATTGAGACCATGAGGTGTCATCTCAAAAAGGAGAAGACATTGGCTTCCTTATTAACCATGTGTTTAAAATAAGGATAGAGATGAGTAGAAATGTGAGTAGAAACACAAACTAGCAAATATATATGCAACTCTAAAATTATAAACAACTGTTGCATCTTCTCATTAAGTGGTTCATAAAGTACCTGCTTTTTGATAAAGAGTTATTAACCCTTCAAGAATGTATGGGTAGAAATTGAGATTTTTGTAGCTCTCAATTCTGCATGGTGAAGATTGTCACACAGGTTGAGAAACACGCACCTGCAGGGCACTTTATGTGGATACATAAGAAGACTGAGCAAAAAGCAAAAGAGAGCCACCACCCATCTCTTTTAATGCACTTACATGTGTTTTTATTTTTTAAATTGATTTGTATATACCCTTTTGGGAATATATTGTTTCATGAATAATGTACTTTTAAATGGGCCCTTATCAATTTTTTCATAAAGGGCTTTCCCCTCCCCATGCAAAAAAAACCCTCCATTATTATTATTTAATCTTAATTTCATACCACAGTAGGATACCTGCAACTTTTCTTATTTGTATATTATTTCAGATCACTATCAATTATACTATTGCTTTTTTTCAATGTGAATAGTTAACATGGTTATTTGAGAAAAACATTGAAATAAATTCCTCTCAAGGTCTACTCAAAAATGCAAGTTTTGAGCCCCCATCCTATTGAGTGGTTTTACATTACAATGCAGGAGCAAAACTTAGTGCCATTAGCTGCTACATTGCTCTCTTTGCCACTATAGACAGGTATTCTGTACTAATTAAATGTTCACTTTCAACTGAGTTTGGTGGAGAAATGGAGTCTTTCCACTGACTCTATCCACAGAGGCTACCAATAACAGTGATACTTTTGCCAAGGTAGTAAGCTTTGCCACCTTTCTAATAGTAATTGCCTAAGATACAAACTGAAGTGCTATTAATTCATGGACATGAAGATTTAATTGGTAGAGATGGTATGGGTTATTTTAAATAATGCCATCAAATAAACTTTTGTGCACTTCTTGAACAAAATGTTTTCTGAATACTTTCTGAAGTATAAAACTGTTATCCTGACCTATATATTGTTCCTTAATATGTTTTACTACAGTTACTGTTTTTTTGCAAAACTTTTGAGAAATATTTTACTTAAACCTTAAATCATCAGATGTGGCAATGGAGCTTTCAAGATACTAAGCCATCTCTGATTTTCTATCTGTTTCTCAGCTATTGCATTGAACCCTATCTCCATATTTTCTTTAGAGATGAATGAATGGTTAGAATCTCTCTAAAACAGGGGTTTTGTAAGAAATATTTAGACCCTCATAGCACATAAATTTATTTACTTCTTACAGCATGTTTCAAAAATCAGATTATATTCACAATAACCAAAAATTGGTTGTTAGTAATTCATTCTGTGGGGGTAAAGTATTTAGGATTTTCTTGGAAATTTTAACATATAATATCTGCTGTTCCATTTTGTTTAAACTCAAAAATCTCTGGTGTGTCATACGGTTTGGCTGTGGGAGAGGGATGAGAGTAACCACCATCTCACTGACAGTAATCCCAGTATATAGCATAGCAGTGAGCTATGTTTTCTGAAAACAAAACTTAAGTATGTGAACAAAATTTTATATTCTTTAAGTTTTAGATCAGTGATAGCCTTCAAAATATTTGAACTGTTGTCAATGATAATTGCATAACTGATTCTTTACTTATTTTTTCATTCTATAGTCAGCTTTCAATTAAATTCCCTCTATTGTTAATGGTGAGACCCAGAAATTTCCCCACAAACTTGTAAGAGAAGGGCACAGTTAAAAGCACTATTCATCCAGGTGGTGTCAAATATAAAAACATTAATACAAAACAATATATAAGATTTGTCAACCATTTTCAGTAAGGTTTTAGTTTTAAATCTTAGCTTTCATAATATGAAAAATATATTCTCAGGTGCTCACTTTGTTATGCACATTTTTCTTTCCTTTATATTTTCACATTTGTTTTTTTCTGGGTGAAAAATCATGTCATAAGAGTTGTGCATTATACTGAAATATGTGTTTCTCAGGAAAAGTTAAGGTGGGAAAAATAAATATTATACTTTGAATTTATCTTGACAAGTTGTGAAAAATTCTGAAATTGGAGTTTTAAAAAAATTATCTTATGTCCTCTTTATATAGATATGGATATCAATATAGATATAGATAGAGAGAGGGAGAAAAAACACCTATAACCTACGTTAAACAGCTAAGCAGGAATGTAACACACCTAGGGGTTGGTTCCTGCAATTAGATATCTTTCTACTGTCTCTACCTTTCATAGTTGCTCCCCGCCCACCTGATAGAAGGTTATGGGAAATGTCAGAATACACGTGAACAAACCTATGGATGCTACCAGAGCTTCTGGGTTTTTCACAACTCCTCAGTGCCTATCAGTGCATCTTCATCCGCACCTCAGCCCCCAGATCTGGCATTAGCACCAACCTCTGAATTCCCTACGTCTCAGGTTCAATGGCGGAGGATTGGAGATTGGAGGTGGGAAGCATGACTGCAGTAGGTACAGTGACATTCAGGTGGTGGTAGCAGAACAATGACAATGGTGTTTTGTTTTCAATTTATAATTACAGATCTGGTTCCTCTGAGTTCTAAAATGTTGGCACTGACTTTGCAGTTTAGAAAAATTACTGAGACAGATTGGAGTTATCACTTCCTCCGAATTATATGGTGCATCTCAAAATACCCTTTGGGACCATTTATTTATTGACTTTCTAGTGTTTTCAAGTTGAAAGAAGTTAAAATTGAAGATTTCCTCAATAATATATCTTACTTAAATGAATATTATTGTGTGTTTTGGACCTCAGAAATAATTCTTTTATAATGAACTCAATGATTATCTTCTGGGAGACAGTATGGTGAAAAATACTTCCTGCTAGTGCATATTGAATTGCCATTGATGCAATTTAAGCTTTATGAGCCAAAACATAATCTTTATTTACTCAGGCCCATTGAGAGTAAGAAGTTTGAAGTTTTCACTGAGGATATTCAGTGAATTAAATTTTTTCTGCTCAGAGAGTATGTGAATGTAACATTTATGCACTTATTTATTTATATGGGGCTAATCAAACAAATGTTTGTTTGCTCCATGGACAAAGCTGCAGTGTCTATCCTGAAGATATGTTTCATGAAGAACTCAACTCTCTCCTCATCACCACCTGTCCCCACCAGCTTAATGTCAGGTTTTGTTTTGGTTTTTTGGTCAGTCCTATAATATGATTTGATACATTTCAAAATAGCCCCTGTATTAAGTACACCCATTACCAATTTTTAAATTGTGATAGGAATGGGCAACATTCCCCTTTTCGTCAGGTTAGGGCATTATAGACAACTGGTCTTTGTTAAGATTGAGATATGTCCTATCTATTACTCACTTTTGACACATTTACTTCCACTAATACCTTTTACTTTAGTGGAAATAATGACTGTCAGGGGATTCAATAATACATTATTAGCTAGGATGGGTCAGAATGAGGGTCAGGAAAATGTCTTGGAACTTGAAGAGTGCCTTCTAGGACTAAGTGTATAGCTGGGGATGGTGAGGAGGTGGGGAGGCAGGACAGGAGAAACCAGAACAGAACATAGGAATCTGAACAGGAAGGTAATGATATCATCAGTATAACTTCACTTCTTCCTTCAGGTTGTCCTTACCGCTTGATGCTAATGTAGAGTTACTTAAAGTGTGTCCTCTAAATCGGTAGCAGCAGCCACAATGTTTTAGAAATACAAGATTTTAGGCTCTATCCAAGATCTACTGGATCAGAGTCATTGGAGTAGGGGGTCAGTAATCTATGCTTTAGCAACCTCTACAGGTGATCCCTGTGCATGTGGAGGCTTCAATATTGATACTACCACTGGAGGAAATTGACAAATGGACCTCATGTTAATAATGGTACCGAGGGAAAATATATTTTAAATGTAATTTTACAGTGTCCTTAGCATTTAGCTAGACAGATCTTTTGGAGAACTTGCTGAAAAAACAAAAAAAAAACCACACAAAAAAATGTTACCGTTTACCAAGACTAATCAAGGAAAGCAAAAGATTAAAAGCAAACAAGATACATTCAGTAGTAGATCAAGGAGAAAAATAAAACAAATAGCCTTATATTGTATCACAGTTTTCTTTGTATTTGCTTGCATAGAACAATGACTGTATGCAGACACTAAGAGCTGATTATATTTGCTCTATAATTCTAGGAAAGTGTTTGGTTTGAAATACCTCTACGTAATGTAAAAGAGATAAGTCTTCAGATACAAGTGAAGTTTTCAACTCCTGCCCTTAGTGGACTCAGGGAATTTGTGATGAATTCACAAGATTGTATCGACTATGCTGTATGCTATATTCCATCAGCTGTAGGCTGTAGAAGTGAAAGGTATGTTTTCAGTATGGAATTATATTTTATTGTTGATTTTTTGAAATTAAGCTTTTAAAATGGTTATTTGCATGCTATGATTATTTAGATTACACTTGCTCATAGCTTTAGCTTTATTTAGTACCATTCATTTATAAAACATACTAATTTAGAGTTAGCATTGTTTTCTCCAATGCAAAAATATTTATTGGAATGTAAAATTAAGTAATTTCTAAATTGCTCTTCATATACCCTCTTTCAGTCCACTTTTCACTAATCAAATTTTTCTAGGTACAAAAACTTGAGTCAAATTAAATGGTTACACAAGGATTAGGGGTAAAACTTTCCATTTTCTTGATGGACTTAATTTGTATTTTTTATTCTCAATTAAACACAAATCATCCTCTTGGAAGACATAGAGAATATTAATTAAGGCTATTATACTATGATGAATATATATACAGATGCTTTTTGACTTATGATGGAGTTATGCCCCCATAAGCCCATTGTAAACTGAAAGTATCATAAGTCAAAAATGCTTTTAATACATCTAACCTATCAAACATCACAGCTTAGTCTAGCCTACCTTAAATGTTCTCAGAACACTACATTAGCTTACAGTTGGGCAAAACCATCTAACACAATGAATACATTGTAGAATATCATTTTTAGCACAGGAAAAAGTCAAAATTCCAAATTAGATTTACAGATTCAACTGAATGCCTATGGAATTGCACCATCGTAAAGTTTAAAGGTGGTTAAGTTGGACCATTTAAGTTGAACCATTGTAAGTCCAGGGCTGTCTGTGTATATACACACATGTGTCACAAACATGCACCAATATGCACTCATATATTAACAGTGCAATGATAAGTGTATTTATAACATGGAAATTATGAAAAACTTAGTACTGTATACTCAGGTACATGCATACACACACACACATAACCTCTATGTTCATGATTACCTTAAATACTTTATAGTAAAATAATCAGCTTTATTTGTTTCAAAGTAATATCCCACTTATTTATCATAAAGGCTAGACTGTATTGGTGTGTGTAATGAGACACATCCATTATTTCATGAAAATGCCTATTGTTAGTTTATATGCTCTTTTGGAGTTAGAATAATTCTTATTTTAATAAATGATGAGTAAATATAATTGTGAATTGCAGAGGATAAACATATTTATAATGTGAAGCATGAAAATAAGAACATAAACAAATTATAAAACACACTATTTTGATAGATGCCCATTATAAATGTGGGCTAGTCTCCTCTCCCCAGTGTGACTATAGACACTTTGTGAGCACAGACTGAGTCTTGAATTTTCTTTATCAGCATACATTCAAAGACATAATTTGGGGTAATATTTACTGACTGCTTACTCTGCTATCATCAGGGAAGCATGTATTTTACATTCATATACCCATAAAATTCTCAAAGTAACCATGAGAGAGAAGTAGCAATAATTGATCCCATTTCATAAATGATGCAATTGAAGCCCAGCATGTTAGGGGATGTTAGGGGACGTGTTCAAGGTTACACAAATACAAGCCAACAGAGCTGGGACACCAGCCCAGCTCCTCTCACAGACTGTCACCTGCTCTGTCTCTGTCCCCCCAGAGATGAGCACATGCTGATTATGAAGAAGCTTTCCAGAGCTGCCTGTTTACTAGACAGACTTCACAGGAAAATATACATGTGTCTCATTCAACAAGCTAAATTTTATTTAATAATAGGTAGAGACAAAACTTTTCTTGATATACTCATTCAAGGTATTTGAATTATTTATGTTTAAGCATTTGTCATTGTTTAACAGGTATTTATTAAACAGATATTAATCATAGCACTGTTTGTCTTGAGTAATGAGGTGATTTTCTCACCAAAAAGAAAAATTTTAAACTACATCTACAGTGAGAGTAGAATGTGTCACAAAGCTGTTGTCAGATATCAATCGTAACTGGGATATTTTTTCTGCCAAATGTATTATACAAACTACAATGACTGATAAGAGTTTGTATATTCTCTCCACCAGCATTATTTTTCAGCCTGATAAGGCTCTAGAGTTCTGGTATTTAGTGAAATTTACTGTCGAATTACCAAAACCAACCATAATGCCAGAAGTGCAGTGTGACCTTGGAAAGTAAGTTCTATTTTGTAGATAAAATTTATGAAAGAAAAAAGTTTGTCTAAAAGAGTAGTGTTATAATGTATTTAACATTTTTAAATAACGCATGAATATTTTTTTCAATTGATTTTCTTTACCAGGGAAGGTTCGATATTTAAGCTACTCTGTGGAACACTTACATAAAAGAAAAACAAGTTAGGATTTAATAAGGAGAAGCTTTTACTAGAAACGATTTTTGTAAGAGAGGGAAAGGGCTATGGAAATCGTTGGAGAGGGCTGTTCTGGAGAGAGAGAATGCTCTGATTTCAGAAATATGCAAGCGTCTCAGAATCAACTAGAAAAGGCTTTTTTTACTTTGTAGGGTAAAGGAGGGACAAGCAGAGAAAGCTAAACAGAATCTTTGGAAGGGCTAGACAAGGAAGGGAAAATGTGGGAACCGATTAGAAAAGTATCTCTCTGGGATAAGCTGATTCCCAGGAAAAGCCAAGAAGGGAGGCATGTTGTACTTTTTTGTGCTTGCTCAGGTTTGGAGAGAAGCAGAGTTCAGGGGGCTGTTGAAAAGGAAGACTGCCTAAAGTTTGGTCAAGGCAAAGCAGAGGGTGAGCAATAGGCAACTGAGAATATTTTGATCACTTGGTTAATACCATATTCCCTTGAGATATGACCATTTATATTTAGGTGGTTGAGTTCTTATTACATGTCTGGCACCAAGTTCGGTGCTACTACATAAGGATAACCAAGACAAAATTTCTGCTAGTGGGCAAATCCCTGCCTTTTCATTAATTTCTCCCCCTTAGCACACCAAAAGAGTGCTGAATTCTCCTAATACCAGATCTTCAGCCAAACATCACTGCAAGTGATTTGTTAAGAAGTGACCCCAGTTAGAAAAAGTCAGTCAGAGAAGGAGGGAAGCAGGATAAGAAAAGGGAAGAAGCTGAGCGAGGGTGTGATTTCAGGTACAGTCCCAGACTTTATCTGACCCTGCAGAAAGGTCTGGATCATCTTACATCTCAGAGGTGGTCTTGTCTTAATGCCAAGTTGCTGGGCTTTTGAACTCTCATGCTAGTCACTAAATATATTAGTATATGGAAAAATATATATAATTACTAGTAAGTATAAGGCAATTCGTGAAAACACTTGGTTCAAACATTTTTAAAATCATGTTGATTTTTTTTCAATCCAATGGATGAGGGGTTGTGGGGATCAAGCAAAAAAGAAAAAAGAGAGAAAGAACTCATGGACACAGACAACAGGGTGGTGATTGCAGGGCTGGGGAGATGGGTAGAGATGGAAGAGAGTATAGGAGGAATACATGGTAATGGAAAAATACAATAAAAATAGTGTAAAAAAAATTTAAAAAGCACTAGCCCTGTCTCTTTCTTTTTAGCTTCTTGTTATGTTTGAATATAGTTTTTTAAAAACTTGATTTGTTTGAATCAAACTCATACACTATATAATTAAAAGATATAATACTTAAACATATTTGGTAGTAACTGTGTTTTTAACCAGACTTACCTTGGATCCTTATCCTCTTTGAAGTTTTCATGGTTTTTCACTGTACCCTTAAAATTCCTTAATATGTTTCCTTAAAATTCTTAATATGTTTATGTGGCTCTATTTCCATACAGTTTTCCAGGTAGTTAGGGTCTTTCAGTGTGGAATGACAGAGTTTCTAGAAATCTTGAATTATATAATTTCTTTATTTTCTCTCTTCTTTCTTCCTACATCTATGTTTTGGATTTAGAACTTGGGGGCTATTTTAATAATGTTCTTACCTTTTTCTTTTGCATTTCCCCTAACATTTCTATTTTTTCACTTAGACAGATTTACTCAGTTTTATATTTCAATGTTTTATTGCATTTTTATGTCAGCTATCAACATCCAAGATCATTTTTGTTTTTATTTTGTTTTTATTTGCATAGTTCTTGTGTTTGTTTTTTAAAATATAATGTTCTGTTCTTACTCTGTGTTTGTAATATTTTCTCTCATATCCCTTAAGGTATGAATGCTCATTTTAAGAACGCATGGTCTGTGTCTTAATATCTTTGTTCTTTCCTGTTAGAAACTTTCTCTGATGCTTGTATTACTCATATTTACGTGTAAGGCTCTAAATTAATAGTTGGGCCTTATTGGCCCATTTATGTTGTTCTGTGTGCTGTTCTTCATTTGCTTTCTTCAATGTCAAAAAGTATTCCTTTTTATTGTTGATGAACCTTTTTTCCAGGTTTGGTATATTATGAAAACTATTGTTTGTAACACTGTATATGTTTTTGTTGCACAGCTGTGCTCATTTCTATTGCACATAACCTAGGACTGTAATATCATTTAAATTTAGTTGATAATGGCAAAGAATTTGCCATTGGCTGTACCTTTTTACACTCCTACTAGTCCTATATGAATTATATTTGCTTCACATCTTCCAAAACATGGGTGCTGGAAGGCTTATTTTAACTATTCTGGCATATGTGAAGTGGTTCCTCGATGTACTTTTAATTTACATTTCCCTCATAACTAATGAGGTTGACTCAGTTGTCATATGTTTCTAGACCATTTTGATAGTCTTTTTTATCTGATTACAATTTATATTCAATGTTATTTTTGTATTAGTTTCAGGTGTATAGTGTATGTAGCATATAGAACTACAGTGACTAGACAATACTGGTTTTCATAGTGTCTGTACCAATTTACATTCCCTTCAGCAGTGTGCCGCTGTTCCATTTTCCACATTCTCACCAATACATACTTTACTATTTAAAAAAGTCATCCTAACAAGTGTGGGGTGATATCTCAGTGTGGTTTTGATTTGCGTGACTACAGGATGCCGATTTTGATGCTGTGTATCAAAAGGCATCAGAAATGATGATGGAGTGAGAATTAAGAAGCCTCTTGACTATTCTTTGCTTTCACTATAAATACCAGCCACATTTTAGGGGGCGGGCTTATTACCTCATCATCAGTTTGGATTTTCTTGATGTAATGGACAGAACTTTGTTAAGTTATTTTGCTTTGTTGTTATTTCTACGCTATGTTAACTTTTTTGCCTGGATGTAACAGTTATAAAATAATTGGCAAACATTGCTCCTAAAACTGGGATATGTTCCAGTACCCAATGCATAATACCACTGATGTCAAAAATAGAGAATCTGGGATGATCTCATTTAGCAAAATGTCATTAGTTCATAGGATTCTTATTTTGAAACTCATACAAGCCTCACTGCATTAGTTTCATAGGCCTGCCATAGCAAGTACCATAAACTGGGTGGCTTAAGACAACATAACTTTATTGTCTCAGAACTCTAGAGGCTAGAAGATTGAAATCAAGGTTTCAGCAGGACCATGCTTCTTCTGAGGCCAGGAAGGGAAAGAATCTTTCCTTGCCTCTTCTCTCTTCTGGTGCTTGCATGCAGTCCTTAGTTTTCCTTGCCTTGTGGATACATCACTCCAGTTCTCCATCTTCATGGCCATATGGCCACCTTCTCATGTGTCTTCATATCATCTGCATATGAGGACACCAGTCATACTGGAGTAAGGGCCACCCAATTCCAAAATGAGTATGACCTCATTTTAATGAATAATATCTTCAAGAACCCTATTTCCAAATAAGGTCACATTCTGAGGTGTTGGATGTTAGGACTTTAGCTTATCTTTTTGCAGGGTATAATTCAACCCATAATAGTCATCAAGTTTAGACGATTAACATTGAACAAGTTTACAAACAAGTATACTAACTTTCTTTTTCCTTCTAGGTACACCATTCAGACCATATCTTTAGTTAATCCTACACATGAAACCTTAAAATTGCAAGTAAGAAGCAGTAATCCTTTTAATTTTATCCTGGAAACTCACAAACCACCAGTAAGTATATTCAGAAAGTCAAGTATCCTATTACTATCAGAACATTTTTCTATTATGATTTTGAGACACTGTGGAATATTAGCATTTCAATTATTAATAAGATTTCAAATGTCTAAAATTTAAAAATGGAATTTATATCATTATAATATATATCCCCAATTTTAACTTATCCAAAAAACCCAAATAGAATGTTCATATAAATTTTTGACATTATATATGCTAGATTCATGTTCATTGTCACAAAACTGTAAATACACTGCTTTATTTCTAACCATTTTGGTAATCACCTTTTACAGTAGTTTCCTAGTAATATGATTTTGACTGAACAGTCATTCTGTGTTTCCAGGGTCCCAACAGTCCAGTTCTTTTCCACCCCATCGTGAGTCCCTGCCCACCACCTCTGCCCCACTTCTAGACAGTGCTGATCATTCACCCCTTTCTCCTCCTCTCTCAGCCCCACTTTCTCACTCTTTAGTCCCTGGCAAAGACTAGAGGCTGTCAATAGGCCTCAATCACTTCTCTCCTCCCCCACTAACAAAATAAGATCTGAAGGTTCAGCGTCACAATCTATGTTTCCAAAGCATGTATCATATAAGTCAGTGACTTAGGCTTTCAGATAAATTTCAGATCAATTTCTTTCAGATAAATTTCAAAATAACAATTGCAATAGATTATTCTCTTCAGAGGACCTCACAGTAAATCATGAAGCCCTACTCAGTAGATAGGTATTTAAATGAAGGGTTTTACTATTTGCCTTTTAAAGATTGCTAAAATATCTGCAAAGTGATTTCTTTATTTATATCTTAATACCTGCCTCTTGTCAATCACTCATTGCTAACTAATGATATCATAATGTGAAATTAATTATTAACTGTCATGTGTTAAATTAGATATCACTATTGGTAAAATTTATATATATAGTGTAATCTTTAAAAAGTTATGTTATAATATACACAAATGACTTAACACTATATTTTCCATACATTACAATGAAATGTTATATTCAAGATATAGTTTACAAATAACTGAAATTGTTCATAATCCTTTATATCACTACTTCTGCAGAAGAATATAAATTGTGGTCCAAGAGAAAATAAACACAATATATTGCAGATGCCAACCCATAATACATAATGAAGAATATGGACTCTGCTTTAATATTTCCAACTATGTCTTTTACTCCACTCATTTTTATACATTCATCAAATATTAAGTATGAAATAAGTTATTAACTTAAATATTATGAAATGACTCAAAAATAAATTTATAGATTACTAAATATAGTATTGTATACTATACAGCAAATTAGGAGAACTCATTAATGTTAATGATAGTAAATGGAAAGAATATCAGATATGTATATATAACTTTACTTATGGTTTTGGTACATATTACTCATGTTTACACACTAAGGATTTAAAAATATTGATTATTATCCATAAATGCTTCACTGAATAAGCACAGATTGATTACCAAGGCAAAGAATGATATAAAAACCTTGCTTCCCTCCAGTGGTATATTATAAAGAATTTTAAAAAGATACAGAAACTGAAAGAATAATACAGTGCACAGACTTTACTTTGTTTCTTATATTAATGGTTTGCCACATTTCTCTTTCTTCTCTCTGTTACATTTTTTCTTTAATCATTCAAGGTTTTGTTAATTTGAATTTTATTTTTTCAATTATAGTTTACTTTCAGTATGTATTGGTTTCAGGTGTACATCAGAGTGATTAGACAATCATGTACCTTACATAGTGGCCCACCCGATATATTCAGTAACCATCTGTCACTATACATAGTTGTTGCAATATTATTGATTATATTCCCCATGCTGTACTTTCTTCACGTCTTTTTTTTATAATTACCAATTTGTACATCTTAATCCCTTCACTGTTCAATTTGAAAGTGAGTTATATAATGCCTTTTCAACACTAAATACTTCAGTTTATATCTCTTAAGTCTGTATTAATCTCCAATATCATCTAATATCCTGTTCAAATTTCAGTTTTCTGACCTGCCACAACTCTTACCCTCTTCAACTAGGATCCAGTGTAAGCTCACACATTGGAATTAGTTATCATCATGGCACTTGTAATGAAATGTTTTTAAGTTTCAAAAAGTCCTATATTTAACATAATATACATGTGTGGGTGGATGTGTATCTACACACACACACACACACACACACACACACACACGATATCTCATTATACTAAACCAGTAGGTTTACTTCAGTTAAATTTCAACCAGTGGTGTTTATTGTTCTTTCCTTGAGAACATGGGAAATGCATTTTTCAGTAAATTTTAGGTGGAAATAAAGGAATTTCATTGAATTACTGCTTCATTGTATATACTACCTCAATGTTCACCACTTGTCTCTGACATATATTTACAGGAGGAATTTGAAGGCAGAAAGGTTAAAATAACTTAAGCCTCATGTTTAGCAAGTGGTACTACTAGAATTAAAACCAAATTTAATCAAGTATTTCATGTTTTCCCAATGAAATAGATTGCTTACTTCATATATATGTATCTCCTTCCTATATAGAGAGAGAAACTTTTTTCATATTTGCTAAATATGAAGAATATATGAAATACAACTTTTTCATTGATACTCAAATTAATTTATACTCCTTAAATGTGCATTAGTTAATAATCTCAAAATATTCAAGGTATCAGACAACTGTCTGAGATAAAAAATATTGGCTATAGATAAAGCACACATACATAATATGGATGTAACACAGTTCTAAATATATAATTAAGTCTGTATTTATATTTCCTTGTCATTCAAGTTCATTTAGAAACAACTGCTGTATTTAACAAAGATTGAATGGCACTGCTAACTTACAATTTTACTTTTTCAAAAGTTATCTGGCAAAATTAATTTGTGAAAAAATAGTTGATGTTGTTTTTAGATATGTGCCACTCATTCTATTATTCTATATGTGTCACTATTAAATATTTTATCATTCACAGTGTAGCATTTTCATTACATGGTGTTCTCAAGTCCTCAATATATTGTGGTAAAGTTTCTGGCTCATGATCTCTAAAGAAGTAACAAACTAATACTGTTCAGAATCAAGTTATTCTAAGAAGTCACACCTTGAGTGTGTATGGGATAGGACAAGGAGGAAAACATCATGTCACACTAAAGAAACATGACTTACATCTATGCCTAGAATCACTTCATTTCTTTTGACATCACCAAGGCTACACATTACATTCTCAGTGTTTGCCTTTATCTTAGAATGAACAATACTGTGTAGGTTCTTAAACACAACGCACATCTCTATTATGGGAGGCTGGAACTCAGATTAAAAAGTTAATTTTGATTTCCTTATTTAGAGTGAGTGACTACATGAGGTCATTGTCTGGGGAAAGGACATGGCATGAGCAATACTAAACACTGTGTATCACTGGTCATTTTACTGATATTCATCAAGCAGGCATAGCAGGCATACTGAGATTGGAGAAGTATACAAGGCAACACATTAATCCCACAAACATCAACCCAGCATTTATGTAGAACACAAAGATGCTGACTCAAGCAAAAGTATTGATTGTCTTGCTTCTCTTTAACTTCTTTGTAAATTTACACAGCTGATCATACCTCCTAACTGCACCGAAGAGGTACCTGTCCGCTATCGTCCTTCTGTTCTTGGCAGAACTGGTCAGCAAGCTTCCATTATCTTCCAATGTGCTCAGGTATAATTCAGTATTCTTAGGCCAAGTCAAGTTAATTAGATTTTAAAGTCAAAAATAAGTAAATGTTATTCATCCATTTGACATTTTTGCAAGCAGAACAAGCTTATTGTAAACTAGTAATTAAACTTTTGGAAATATAGTATGCAGTGTGCATGTATGGGCATCAAAAAAGACATTTTTAAATCCTTAGATTGCTTGAATGAAGGAGAATATACACCCAGATTTTCAAACATATGAATTTTAATGTAAATGCCAAATTGCTGGCATGTATGTTAATTTTCTGACTTGGGTTTCACTACTCAAATTTTCATGAACTTAAATACAAATTGCTGAAAATATAATCTTGCAACTGTATTACTTTTTCACTCTTTCATGTGTGTAGCATTCTTGAATAATAATAATAATTTTAAAAAACAACAATGGTTAATCATTTTGAAGCATCTCTAAGCTTGCTGCATGACTTTTGTAGAATTATTTCAGTTTATTCTCACCACAGTCCCAAGGTAAAAGGATTATCAAGCCCATTTTACAGATCAGGAAACTAAGACACAGAAATGAAGATCAGGTTGCTAGTAAGAGGTTGAATGCAGACCTGAACCCAGGACGTCTGGCCTCAACCTATTTTCATGACTATTTTTACAGCTACCTACAGATTGCCAATTGATTATAGCTCTCTTAACACCAATGGAAAGTTTACAGAACTGTTTACTTTATTATTATTTTGTCATTCTTCAAGTGCTGCTAGGGAGGAAAGTAAGTGGAGATAGGAACTTTAAATCCCAAGGGCACCAAGGAGCCTACCATCTGAGAAACAGTGGAATCACATATAATATAGGGGTCCCAGTGTCAGTGCAAGACTTGTGGGTGACTGAGATGTCCTCTTTTCTAAGGTGTAATTAGAACACAATGTGTAATTCACCTTTAGAACAAAAATTTAAGGCTATTAAATTTCCTCTGTGATTACTGTCTTATACATGACGTGAAACAATATTATGGAAGTATGCATGCCCCAAAAACATTAAAGGAAAACAAATAGTAATCCTTTCATACAGTGTAGATTATATTCTTTTACAGAAATATAATGTAATAGAATTACATTACTGAAATACAATTATTTCAGCTTATTCTCACCACAGTCCCAAGGTAAAAGGATTACCAAGCCCATTTTACAGATCAGGAAACTAAGACACAGAAATGAAGATCAGGTTGCTAGTAAGGAACCTGATTTAAAACAAGGCACAGTTTTAAATCATTGCTTCATAAGAGGGTTAGCCCCTTCATCTGAATTATTGGGGACAATGTAGTTGCTTGCATTTTAGATGGAAATTATGTGTATTCAAGGATATGGCACGTTAGCAAGACAATGACCAGTTCTCCATCTTAATAGGTTTAGAAAGTCCTAGCCTAGGCATTGAATGTGAAATTCTTAATCCAACACAAATAACTCAAACAAGTAAGTAAGCAACTCAAACGTTTTATAAAATCAGTCTTTACATTGGTGCTTGATCTCAGTCACTCTAAGCATCTCCTTCCATGTTGTAGCAAATCTCCAAGGATTCATCGGTGGTTAGAGTTCAATCCAACCATTCATTCATCCTTTCAGCAACAAGGGTCTGACCCCTTCAAACTTTTTAATGTATTACCCTAACCTTTCTGATGTTTTTGCCTTTCCTTTTTCTTTTTTGCCTTAATTGTTTCCTCTCTGAATCATTTGCATCTTCCTTTTTAATTTAATTCATCCAGTCACCATCCTTTGCCAGCAAAACCTGTTCATCCTAAAGTATTCATTGAATGACCTTTTGAAAATACAGTACACATACTGTATGTGTAGGCATCTGATTAAGATATATTTTAAAATAAAATTTTAGGGTTTACTTTCTCTAAGGCTAAGAGTTTCCAATATCTTTAACCATCAGGGAAACACTCCCATAGATTTCTGTCTCTGTCTTGATTTTCACCAATACAGGGTCTAGCACAAATAATGCCCTTTTTCTATTATAAAACTTTTTATCACAAAATCATTGGCATGTCATTCTGTATCATAACAATATCGCACTCAAGCACACCACATGACATTTTAGGTGAAATGTTCAAATTAAAAGTATAAATTATTACACCCATATTATTACCGTAGCAACCACACTCAAGCAGGCGTTACTTCTACCAGACCCTGTAAACTTGAACTGACATGTACAGCTGAATAGCTGATTCAGATAAAATCTGGTAATGGCAATTATTACAGGAGAAGCTTGAATTATTTCTGATTGTTACACTTTGCTGAACTTAAGGAAATTGCTATAGTTTTTAATTTACTGCATGGGTTTCTGATTTGGATCCATGCACAGGATCCATTGTAAAAAACCCAACTAAATTTAGACTAAAGTCGTTTGTGCAGATTTTGAATCCTAAGATTAATTTGGTTAGGATATCACAATTATGTATGTCCTGAAACTCATACTATGCTACCAGATGCTGTAAATGAGGTTGTGTTAACTGCATATCAGAATAAGAGGAATGGTGGTAAGCAGCTAATATGGCAGTCGGGCCTTCTAAGATTTTTTTCTTGGTTTTCAGTTGTTTCATTTTTATTTTTGAATAGTTTCCATTATTTATTTCATGTGTACTTTATTGTGTGACTCGCTGCATCTAAAGGTCAGAATAGCAAAAACGAAGGTGAGAAGACAGAGTCCAAGTGGTTTTATCACCCAGCATGAGTCTGTGATCCTGCAGCCTGTGCCTGGGGAAAACTTGGTTGATTCTTAGCCAGCTCTAAAGCCCTCGAGCTCTGCTCTGCAGGCAGAACAGTTTGATTGTCTTTTACCTCCACTTGTTTTATTTTTCAGAAACAATGGAATTGGATCTTTAAAGGTTTTTTGTTTTGTTTTGTTTTGTTATTCACTGTTGTCTCCTTTCAAAGAAGTTTAAGAAAAAGATGGGCTAAAAATGTTATTTTTATAAAGTCACAGAGGCAGAAGTGAACTATAGAAGACCTGGGCTCAGGAAACAAGTTAGAGACAAAAGGGCCCTTGGAGCTTAGGACAAAGAGAGAGGCAAGGAAAATTTGCTTGGGGGAAGGGGGGTTAGGCACAGGCATGCTACATAGAGAGAGCAGCCACTTATTTTTGTAATGCACAATTTTTGAGATACTTTGAAATTTCTCTTTCTGAGCCCAAGAGTATGATTTAAGCAATGCCAGGGCAAGTATTGTTTACTAGTGCCCCATAATGGTAGGATGGATATGATTTAAATTAGAAGCACTAGTATTCCAGGACATTTGGCAAAAACATGAAAGTATGACCTTCTGGTTTTTGTACTTTGGCTCATTCCCGGTGGTTCAAAGTAATCTTATTTCTTTCATCTAGGATTAATTTAATTGAGTAGCCAAAATGTAAGTAATTTACATAAAACAGTTCTTAATTTAATTGAACCCAGTCAGCCAATTACATGTAATTAAATTAGGACATCTTAAGTGAAAATATAGTGAACTGACATTATTCAAGTAGAATCTCGAACTAAAAGTAATGCAGTCATTTGAAGATATAATATGCAGATACACTTGCCCTTGTTTCTCTCTACTCAGAGGCAGCATTGTATGCACTTCCTCTCACCACCCCATTGTGCTTTGGAACAATCTTAAAGCAAGTGTCCCTCCTCTTACTGGATTTTAGGTTTGGAAACATCTGGGTAGTTTGAGAGATTATAAACGAGGCTGTTGCATTTGTTGGTTTTTATTTAATTACCTCTTCATTTATTTACAACATTAGTAAAACATTCGGTGCCCAACTGAGTCACAGTCTATTGTGCTTTTGGGGGACTTTTATTCTAAATGAATACAAAGGGAATATTTCAAACAGAGCTTTGCAGGCTTGTGAAACATAGATATGAACAATGGCCACATTCGATCTCCTTTACTTGGTTTTTGAGCCATGATTTCCTATCTTGGGATAACAGAATCTACAGTGTCCTAGATGGTGGGGATAAATAATATAAATAACAGTTGTACACACTGCCCTTCAGTGGGACGTCATTCTGTGCCTCACCCTCTTTGCCTTCATGTGATAGTGATAACTATATGAATTTCACCTGAAATTCACCCTAGGATTTTGGAAACTTCATGCGGTTTATAGTATCTAGTTTGTTAGACAAGTTGACTTTTAAAAAAATCCTTGAGCATAAATGCAAGGTTTCTATTAAGATATCTCTTTAATGCTGCTATAAATAACCTTATATGCATTGAAATGTTGACTATTTGAATATTGCTCTTGAGCTGTCCTTTTTATCAGTGTAAAAACACATGGATTGATTTTTTCAACAAAATCAAAAGAAATTTTGAAAAGGAAGAAAAGATAAAACAAGGCATGTTAAATATTAACAACGAGACTTTTTTTATCTGCCAAAATTTGTACACATATTGCATTTATTAAGTGTTGCAAATAAATGTATACACGTATGATATACATGTTATGAATGTTTATCTTTAAACAGTTTAAAGAATGGAAGTTCCTCCTTTCTGGAGTAGGACTGTTTCCCCAGCCGCTTGAAGTAGAAACAATGACCACGTTCCTTAATAGAGTGGCAATCACTGTTATAACTTTCGAAAATCCCACCAAGGAAAATGTTTTTGTCGATGCCCTACTAACAAGTAAGTTGTATTTCTTATACTTTACCTATGTTATTTTTAAATTATTAATCAAATGTATTTTATCATAGACTCAATGCATTAGAGAGGTGGTGGTCACGTTAGAGATCCATTAGCTCAACAGCATCATTTTATAAAAGAAAAAACAAGGTGTGGAAGATGAGGTACCTTGGCTGAAATCACAGCATGTACCTGGTGGAGCCAGAATCAAGAATTAGAAATCTACGTAACAAGTCAAGTTCTTCTAATTTTATCTATGAAGCCAAAAATGTAAATTAGTAGATTTGTAAGATTCTAATAATAATTATTCAAATATGCCAATGCTTATTCCTTAGAAGTTCATAGAAATTCTAGTGTTCTGATAGTGTTTCCTTTCCCCATTTTCTTTATAAATAGCATATTTGGATTTGGATTAAATGTTGGCTGTAATCAGGCCTGTTCTTTTTTTCCTGTCATATTGACAGTGCATGTTTTGCAATTCAATGATTTGGAATTTTTGGTCACTTTTTATTAAATGGTAAATAATATGGGTCTGAAATAGAAATCAATTCATTACGAGTTTTGTCAAACACATTTTAAATCTAGTATTAGGCACTACTAATTTAACAGTAAAAATGAAGATGTTTATACCAATCAGCACAATATATTAGTTTTACAAGTATCAACTTTCATTTTGTAGGTTGAGAAATATAAATAAAGTACTGTATTGAGTTATTGTTTACTTACTTAATTATGATTGTGGTGTTCACTAGCAGTAAAATAACAAAGTATACAATATAGCAGTGTTATAAGTTAATCATACCTATGGAGCATGGAGAGGTACCACTTAGTGCATTTGATTTTACATGTTAGACTAGTTTATGAAAATCTTATTCCTGGAAGTCCTCTGAATCTTGAGTCAAGTACCTCCAGAGTTGAATAAATATCGATGTTAAGTATGTAGTGATCATTGTATATTTTTTAAAGTTTTTAAAAAGATTTTATTTATTTACTTTTAGAAAGGGGTAGGGAGGGAGAAAGAGAGGGAAACATCAATGTGTTGTTGCCTCTGGCGCACCCCCTACTGGGGACCTGGCCTGTAACCCAGGCATGTTCCCTGACTGGGAATCGAACCATTGTCCCTTTGGTTTACAGACCCACACTCAGTCCATTGAGCCACACCAGCCAAGGTGATCATTGTATATTGCCATTCAGGGTGCACGTAACTTTATATATAGAAAGAGAGATAAATAGGCCTAAGAAAAAGTCCAACACTGTCAAAATCTCTCCCAAATTCACACAATCAGCTATTTCAATATTTGAATTAACAAATAAACAAAACTGGGACATTTGAGAATGGTAGGTAGGGAAGTTGGAGTATCAAATATATAACAGTCTCTTTATGCCTTAGTTCCTCTGTTTTCCAATCCAGGATCCAATCAGGGATTTCCAACCAAGTCCAACTGCATTTGGTTATCAGATCTCTTAAATATTATTTAATCTAAAGGTCCCCTCCTACCTGGTTCTGTCTTTTATGATATTGACATTTTTAAGAGTCCAGGCCAGTTGTCTTCTAGAATATTGCATATTGAGGATTTCCTTGATTGTTTCTTCATTATTCAATTCAAACTAAACATTGTGGTGAGAATATCACACAAGAGATTTTGTGTACTTATCATTGCAATACATCAGAAGGCACCAAATGTTAGTCCCATTATTAGGGATATTAAGTTTAATCACTTGGTTACGGCTGTGCCTGCCAGACTGTTATATCATAAAGGTCATCTTTTCCTCTCAGTATCAATTAGGTCTATTATCTTCACTGATTTTATTAGCTGGAATTATACATACATGCATATACACACATGTTTACATATATGTGCATACATATATAATATGTATATGATTACATATATATGATGTGTGTGTGCATATACAATTGAGAGAGAGAGACTTTTTTCCTCCCCTTCACTCAACTCTTTTTTTTTAGTATGAGTATTGACTCATGGATCTTTTTTTATCTTTTACATCTCAGCTTTTCTTGTTTCCAAATACCCATCACATTGTCACATTTGATTATAGAACATTCAGTGTATAAAATGTGTGGGGATCTAACCTGAGAAGGCACAAGGTTTGTGACCTTGGGCTTCTTTTGGGGGACTTCTCTAACTGTTAACACACCGGAGGACGTACAAGGTCATCTCTATTGTTGCCTCTAGCAAGGAATCGTACAATTCTTTGATCAGTGAAGGAGTATTGTCTGATGGTGCACTCTTTATTCAGGGAAGACCACTTGCTCTCTTTATTTAAAAGCGTCACTATCATCCTGGCCTGGTAGCTAAGTTGGTTAGACTATTATCCCTATATGACAAGGTTGCAGGTTCGATCCACCAGTCAGGAAAGGCACGTACAAAAATTAACCAATGTATGTGTAAATAAGTGGAGCAACAAATCGATGTTTCTCTGTCTCTCTCCCTCTTCCCCACCACCCTTCCTCCCTCTCTCCCTCCCTCCCTCTCTCTTAAAAATTAATAAAAAAGTATGGTTATCACTATGTTTCTGGGTAATGAATGTTCTTCAGTTTGGAAAAACAAAACAAAATATTAACAGAAATGACTTTAACACCCATCTCTTTCTTTTGTGGATTTCTCTGTGACCAGATGTAGTAGGACCTTAGGGCTTTTTGTAAAAGCAATTTAAAGGAACTAGAGCTAATATTTGTACAAATTCAAAGCTCTTACATCAACAGAAAAGAATAATATCTCATTCCTTTTCCTTTTTACTGTTGCATTGAGGACAGTTGCACTCATTTGCTGAGGTTTTTGACTTACAGCCAATTTGTATTGGCTTTGAGAAGATATTTAAAGAGCAGTGTCAGGGCAGACTGGTGACAGACAGCTCAGGACTCTCCCTTTCTTCCCTTCGTCTTTCTGTTATTAGTTCCCTGTGGTCAAAGGAACACAATCTGTACGACTTGAGTTATTTTAATTTGTTGAGGTTTGTTCTGTGACCCAAGATATGGTCTGTCTTGCTCAATATCCCATAGGAGCTTGAAACAGACATGTGTCCTGCTGTTTCATGGAGTATTCTACTACATAGATTATTTAAATTCTGTCACTTCATTTGGTTTTTTGAGTCTTCTATATCCGTGCAGATTTTGTGATGAGTAGGCCTCTCAGCTGCTGAGAGGGGGGTTGTTAAAGCACACAATTGTGCCGGTGCATTTGTTGATTTCTCCTTTCAGCTCTATGGATTTGTGCTTTATGTAAGTGGAGGCTCTCTTGCCTGTTATAGATGCATTAGGATTGTGTGTCTTCCTGGTGAATCAATATTTTATAATTATGTCATTCCCCTCTTTGTCTCTAGTAATTTTCTTTTCTCTGAACTTTACTTTTATAATGTTAATGTAGCAATTTCTGTTTTTTAAAAATTAACATTTGTATGATACATCTTTTTTTTCTTTCAAATTACCTGTCATTAAATTTGAAACAGTTTCTTGTTGACAGAACACTGTTGGACCATGCTTTCTTTATATATTTACTTGCTTGCTTGCTTGCTTATTTACTTGCTGATTTTCTTCCTTCTTCCCTCCCTTCCTCCCTCCCTTCCTTCCTTCCTTCCATCAGCTCTACCCTACCTTTACCCTCTCAGCCTGCTGTCCCAGGGAGAGAATTGGAATGCTGCCTGTTTCTACTAAACAAGTGGTAGAAGAAAGCCCCTCCCCCCTTTTTTGTCTCCCCTGTTTCCTGATCTGGGCTGGGGGTTTCTACAGTGCCTTGTCCAGTATATATGGAAGGTGCTATGGAAACCTGGGAACTCACCACTATGTCATTCCTCAAGACCCAAGGTCTAAGCAGGCTGCCTTCCTTTTCACATTTCAGTTTCCCCAAGCTTGTCTATGCTATCTGGCAATTTCTAGTTATAATAGGGAGGGCCTAGGAGGAATGGGGCTACTTTATTTTCATGGGTTTTTTAAAAATTAACTATTATTCTTTTTGGTACTCTCAAATTTGGCCAGTGGGATCTTTTTTTAAGTATGTTTTATTGATTATGCTATTACAGTTTTCCCAATTTTTTTCTCCTCTTTATCCCACCTCTACCCTGCACACCCCCACCCTCCAGCATCCCCCCTCTTAGTTCATGCCCATGGGTTGTACATATAAGTTCTTTGGCTTCTCCATTTCCTATAACCTCCCCCTGTCTATTTTATGCCTACCAATTATGCTGCTTATTTCCTGTACCTTTCTCCCCCTCCCCACTGAAAACCCTCCATGTGATCTCCATTTCTGTGAGCTTCTTATTTCCTGTACCTTTCTCCCCCTCCCCACTGAAAACCCGCCATGTGATCTCCATTTCTGTGATTCTGTTCTTGTTCTAGTTGTTCACTTAGTTTTTGTTTTTGTTTTTTAGGTTCAGTTGTTGATAGTTGTGAGTTTGTTGTCATTTTACTATTCATAGTTTTTTATATTCTTCTGTTTCTTAAATAAGTCCATTTAACATTTCATATAATAAGGGCTTGGTGATGATGAACCCCTTTAACTTGATCTTATCTGGGTAGCACTTTATCTGCCCTTGCATTCTAAATGATAACTTTGCTGGGTAGAGTAATCTTGGCGTAGGTCCTTGCCTTTCATGAGACCAGTGGAATCTTCTACAAATGAATCCCGAAGTCCTTTGAATTGTCTCCATTAGTTTTTGAACATTTTATTATTTTGTGGGACAGCAAGATATTCCAGTTATCTAGCCCTTAACTTGCTGCAAAGGTCGAATTAGGCATTTTTTCAAGGCTCACTTTATAGAGACAAGGTATTTAGTATCCATGATATGGGAATTAGATATGTCCATTGTTACTGGGATGTCTGTTGCAGTGGACAGAGCAAAGAAATAATTATTAAAAATTATTATTTTATACTGATGACTCCCATTCATATCCTACACTGCATGGTTTTTCCTCATCTTACCTCACTCTCTCTTCTCCAACATGAAAAATCTGGTTCGAAAAACATCAATTCAGTACACATTTACTGTAAAAAAAAAAAAAGAAGAAAAGAAAAGACTACTAAACAGTTACTACAAAAACTACTAAACAGTTCAAGATATCTTTGCAGTAACTTTTCCTCCTAGGATGTATTTCGCTACCTTAGAACAGTCAGGAAACTATGGCCAACATATTCTTTAATTAATTTTTTATTCTATGTAGTTTAGTTGTCAATGTATACAAAGATGGGTTCTTTATCTTTTAATTTAAATTTACTTTTCAAATATTTAAAATGTATTTTAATTTCTGAATTTGTGAACATGCATTGTTCAAAACTCAAAGCTATGTAACAAGTTCTATTTATACAAATCCCATCCTCATTCTCAACCAACTGTGTGTGTGACCATCTTAATTTGATCCTGATTTATCCAGTGTTTATTTTTGCAGAAATGAGTGTATATGAATAAAGGCATACACACACACCCACACGTAGTTCTGTTTCATCCTCTATCTCATGCAAAGGTAGAATACTGTATAATTTCTTTTGTATCTTGCTAACATCACATAACAATGTCTGGAATCTAGTGAAATAGTTAATGGACATCTTTGTCATTGATTTTTATGATTTTAGTACATTGATTTTTTTACTGCACTATTGTTTATGTACAACTCATCTCCAGTACATGGACCTTTTCATTATTTCTAATAATTTGCAATCTAAATTATGCCTCAGTACATATTGTTTCATATTTGAGCTATATATTTAAGATACATTTCTATAAGTGATATTGGTGGGCAAAATGGTAAATATATATAGTATTTTACTATTTGTTACAAAATCCATACTCTGGTTCCTCTTCAAATCGTATAAATCTTTTGCCTTTTACAAAATCCCCTTTATAGGAGTTGAATGTTATACATTATCATTTCTTTCCAAGGACAACATTGGCTGATAACTAGTTTTTAATGTACTTAAAGTTATAAATGCCTGTGCTAACAGAGATTTTTATCTTTTGTACATAGTAGCATAGCACTAAAAGCAGTTACTTTTTATTTAGCCAGTAAGTATGTTTTAAATAATTGACTGATTTTTCTATTATTGGTTTATTGTTAATGTTGCATAAATGCACATTTATGTACATGTAAGTATTAAGTGCTACAATCCAAATGTAGATTGTTGGTTCAAACAGTGTCTCAGTAATACCTATTATTTGAGTAGTTTAAATTAAAATCCCAAGGATTTATGAGCTGATTTTATAATGTTTCTTAAATATTACAGAAGAAACCATATATAACATTGGATATAGTCTTCAAGAGTGCCATTTAAATCTCAGCTTAAAATGTATTTTGAAAAATAATCATCTGAGAAATTTCCCATTAGAGGAGAGTGTTGGTTCTATTTCAATCTTCACTGATTTTTTTCTCTTAAATGTGACATTGAAGTGTAATATCTCTTTATATTTTTATTAGGTCGGCAAATGCCCAAGAATGTCATCCTTGGCATTAAGTGCGATAGCTTCCTCATTGAGACTCCTGTCTTCAGTCTTAGGTTGAGTCCCACACGAGGTACCGGATTTCTACCTTCTATTCTGTCATTCTGTATGCTATTACATTTTAGAAAAGATGAAATATGTCTGTGTCTTTATAAATACTTGATAAAAATTAAAGATACAAATTTAACATTTTGAAACAAAGTTTAGTAAGTAGATAGGAAAAACATGGATAGTATAACCTTTATGTATATTTATTATACCTTTGCCATTTTTTATTTCATACCACATAAGTACAACTTGCAAAATAATTGAATGTCATGCTACATAATACATAAATGTGTGGGCCAAAGATGATTTTGGAAGATTACAAATAACTAGTGTGCTAAAATTACTCATACTTATGAAAACTAATTGCATCTTTGCAAAGCTAATGATTTCCTGAAAAGTTATTATAGGGTGTACATCTGTTTTTACTTATATTAATTATCTATCCCACCTGTTTATTGATGAGTATGAAAAAAACTAAAGCATAATAAATAAGTTGCCTAAAAATCAAAAGCCCCCAAAATATGAGTTTGCTTAAAATAATATTTTAAAGTAATATTTTTAAAGTAAAAATATATAATAATAGTTACATATATATGATGAAATACAAATTTGTCTTAACATAACTCATACAAAAATAGTAACTGAAATCAGGAACCACTACTAACATCCCAATATAAATGGGCTTAAACCTTTCTTCTATATTTTCTGTAGTCATTTCTGTCGGCACTCTAACTCTCATCAATTCATAACTCCATAATGTAGCTGTTATTATTCTTATTGAATCAAGGAGATTGCAATTCAGAAGCATTGACTTACACACAATCAAAACAGTTGTTTAATGGCAAAGCTGAACTTCTTATGTATGACTTGAAGGTGTTTGTTTTGTGTTTCTTTGCAATACATTAAAAGGAGTATGAGCAACACTTCACAAAAGAAGTACAGCTGGCCACAAAATGATGGAAACCATGCTCAAGGTCACTAACATTTTAAAAGATGTTGATTTAAATGGTAGCCACCTAAGTGGTTTTTTACCCTCATTTATTCTATACCATACGGTAGCACTAGAGAACAAGGTGCTGCTTTACAAATTTACATAAGTTTAAAATTAGACCTGGGACCTTAGGAAGGGCAGCCAAGATGCAGTGATTGGGCGTTAGAAGTCGGGTCTGAAAATCTGTGTTGGATTTTCACTATAATATGGAAAACTGTTCGCTTGAGCTATTTTCTTTACTTTCTAGATCCCATTTTGGACATTACAAAGAATGAAATTCAGTTTTACCTGATAGGATTTTTGTTGGAGAATAAATGCAATTGTGTATGTGAATAAATTTCTAAACTCTAATAGTATATACAATTATGGGTTATTAGTATTATTTGTATAGGTGAAAATAGCAAAACACAAAGATGGTTTTGTTTTATAAGAAACAAGAGCTAGCTAGCACTCTGCCAGTACATGCCAGGAAATATATTTCTGAAAAATGAATAAAGAATAAATAAGTTATTTTGCTTCTGAAACCCATTTGTCATCTAGATGAAAAAATTACTAGACAAATGATTGTAATGTTCATCAATTACTGATTGATTAAATAACCCTGTTACCTTGGTGAATACAAGTTTTTTTTAAATGATTTCTTACAGAACAGTATATAACTATTTCTGGTTTTATATTTAGATTTTAAAGTATCCAACTTTGTAGATATATCTTTATTTTTAAAACAAGCCAACTTTGTTATTCATTTTCATATCCCTAATCCTTAAAATATATTATATTTTATTCAATATTTTCATTTAAAATATCACCAAATTTCAGTTATTCGTATGTCACCTTCACAAATTTTGGCACACCTTTGTATCATCTGTATGATAATTTACTTAATAGTATTTTAATGGAAAACAATATCACTTGTCATGAGCAATAGAAATGTCCTCTTTGCCAGAGACTATTTAAACATTTTATGAATAGTAATTGATTCAGCCCTCACTACCATATGAGTTAGAGTCTATTAACACTCTTATAGTAGAGATGACTACACTGAGACCTGTAGGCATTAGGTCCAAGGTCACATCCCCATTATATGTTGGAGCTTGGGTTTTAATGCAGAGCATGGGCTCTTGCTCAACTACTCAATACCATCCTAAATAGAAGACAGCTGTAAAACATCAACCAATAAATAATGAAATAAAAATTTAAAGTAACTGTTCAAGTTTCACTCAGAAGTATTTGAAGTATCACTGTTGCAAAATAGTTCTCCTGGGAAGCAGGGAGTTTATTAGGGAACATTCTCATGGTCTGCACCACCAGAGGAAGGGAATGAAGCAAGACTGAACAGAGTTGAGATAGTGGGGACAAGGGTTTCAGCTACAACATGGCAAGCACTGAAATTGGATAGCTCCTCACAGTTGCCCCAATTTGGGATGAGGAAGCCAGGATTTTATACTTTCACCCCATCTCCCCAAGTGCCCACATCAATTCATCATTAAGTGCAGTCTGCCCTAGAAAGTAGTTTTTTACCTTGGTCAGGTGACTCTCTTCGGTTGAAGGCAGTTCTCACAAACAGCTGATACCTACATACTGTGTACTGGTGATAATCTCAATAGCTTGGGCATAAAGTCAGGAAGATACATTCCTCTTTTTATTATAAGCATTGCTGTTTATTTTTTCTGACAATATACTGCTTTTGCCATGTATAATTCACACTCACATTTTTGTGTGTGTTATACATGGGATTATTATGCCCGTTATTATACCCATGGTATGTAATCATTATACCCATGTATAATGCACATCCTTATATTTCCCTCAAAATTTTGGGTAAAAAAAGTGTGCATTTTCAAGGCAAAATACGGTACCTTAATAATTTTAAATATGGTGACATGTAGGAGTCAAGGTTCACTTTATTCATTATGTATACCAACTTGTCCTAGCATCTTTTATAGAAAAGGCACCCTTTCTGTCATTGAATTGCAATGAAGACATTGCAACTGGAAAACAGTTTTCTTTCAAAGTTAGTGACAGTATGTTTACAAATATGTTTCTGGACTCTCTCCTCAGTTGCAGTTGTCTATTCATCTGTCTTTGCACTAATATCATACTGTCTTAACTATTACAGCTATAAGCAAGTCTGCATATGTGGTAACATAAATCTTTCAAAATTCAAAATGTTCCTGTTCTTCAAGATTTTCTTATTTATTGTAAATCCTTTGCACTTTTATGAGTTTTAGAATCAGCTAGTTGATTTCCAAACACACAGAGATAAAGAGGTACACATGCATACCGCTGCTAAGGCTTTTTAAAATTGTATTGAAACTACACATTGATATGGAAGCAACTAGCATCTTAGAAATATTGAGTTACTGAGCCTTACACAATATTAAACAATATTTTATGTATTTATTTTTAGAGGGGAAGGGAGGGAGACAGACAGGGAGAGAAACATCAATATGTGGTTGCCTCTCACACACCCCCAACTGAGTACCTGGCCCACAACCCAGGCATGTGTCCTGACTGGGAATTGAACCAGCAACTCTTTAGTTCACAGGCGGGCATGCAATCCACTGAGCCACACTAGCCAGGGCTATTGAGCCTTTCAATCTAAGAACATGGTACCTTTTTCCATTTATCCAAATGGCTGTCTTTCTTCAAGATTTATTTTCAAGCTCATCTATCCCCACTGATTTGATATATCAACATTGTCATAGACCACACTGCCGTATGTACTTGGATTATTTCTGGGTTGTCTCTATTATTCCACTAGATCTGTCTTTAAGACCAAAACTTCACTGTTTTCATTAGAGAGGCTTTATAATGTACTTTAATATGTATTGACGATAGCTCTCTCACATTACTTTCTTCTCAGAATTTTACTGGGCATTCTTACCTCTTTGTTTATCTACATGAACTTTATAATAAATTGACTACCTCTGGAAAAAATGATAAATTATTTATTATGATTTTTAAAGTTATAATTTAAATTATAACTAAGTTATAATTTATATATAAATGTAACTAAATTATAATTTATATATGTTTTAACTAAATTATAATTTATATATGATTATAACTGTTATAATTTAAATAATAACAATTATAACTGTATATGTCAGAAGAAATGACATTTGTGTGATAACTAAAACTTTATCAGTATTCATTTTATGTATTTTCATTAGTTCATCAACTTTGTCTCTTCAGAAATGTTTTAATTTTATTTTTTAATATTTTTTACATGTGTTTTAATGGACAAAGTGTGCTTAAAACCATTTTAGGTCACCTTTTAAAAACAGTGAAAATATTAACAATATATAATTCTTTTTGTGATGTTACAGTGACAGAAAATACATAATTTGTTGTTACATAATATAAGCTATTTTATGACTACTCATACTTAAATTTTATTACTGATTTTAATTACAATAGCTCACTATTATATTTTCTCTTACTACTTCCTAAAATAATAAAGGTTTTGCTTAAAATGATACCAGTTTTCCGTTCTGAAGAAATCATTTTCATGAGAACTATTAATATATTTTAAAATATTTTTATATAATGACTCTTATATTACTTTAGTACTCTTGATATTCCATGATGCAATGGTAAAGACTTAGCACACTTTTCAAAACATTTTACACAATGTTAATTTCTGTAAGGGCTAATTAAATTTTCCCTTTAATTTAAAAGAGAAGTTTTAGAGCCTTAATTTAGGTTGTTGTCATTGGAGTAATCACAATATTAGGAAATCCTTGTCTGGTTAGATAAAAATTCCTGGCAGAAAAGCAGATAGGGGAGATATATTTGACCATATTGCTCTATTGCTCTTCAATTAATTTTTTTCTTTAAAATATCAAGTTTTTATTTTTCCACATAATTTTATACATATAATTAAAACTAACAAGGTATAATTTTAATTAGTGTCATTTTTCATGTAACTTTTAAAGATGTCAGTATTCTATCATAGCTTTAAATATAGAGCTATAGAAAGATGGAGAGATAAATGCTAGGTATTATCCTCCTTTTTGCTTTGAGAATGA